ATGTATAGAAATGCTTCTGATTTATTTATTTATTTTTTTTGAGTCTCACTCGGTCGCCCAGACTGGAGTGCAGTGGCCGCTTCCGGCCACCGCAGCCTGGCCTCCCGGGCTCCGGCAATCCTTCCGCCTCAGCCTTCCAAGTAGCCGAAATTACAGGCATGTGCTACCACACCCAGCTGATTTTTTTATTTATTGTAGAGATGAGATCTCGCTGCCCAGGCAGGTCTCGAACCCGTGGGCTTAGGCAATCCACTCACCTCAGCCTCCCAAAGGCGTGGGATTACAGGCTGAGCCACTGAGCCCGGCTTGCTTCTGATTTTTATATGGTGATTTTTTTGTCTTGAAACTTCACTGAAGCCATTTATCAAATATAAAAGCCTTTATATTTTGTTTTTTCTTTTAGGATTATATAAGAATCCTTTCCCTAAGTTTGTATATAATTTACATTTTACTTTGTGTATTATCTCAGTTGGTGATTCTCCATGTTACATAGATAACCCAATTTGGATTTTTTCATTTAGATTTGATATCCTCCATTATGGAAGGACTTCAAGATTTTGATAGTGTAGCCATTATTGTAATATAAAAAAAGAACACTACATTGCTAATTTTTTTTTTTTTTTTTTTGAGTTGGAGTTTCACTCCGTCACCTAGACTGGAGTGCAGTGGCCATTCCCGGCCACCGCAGCCTCTACCCACTGGGCTCTGGCGATCCTTCCACCTCAGCCTTCCGAGTAGCCGGAATTACAGGCACGCACTACCACACCCGGCTGATTTTTGATTTATTGTAGAGATGAGGTCTCGCTGCCCAGGCGGGTCTCGAACCCGCGGGCTCAGGCAATCCACTTACCTCGGCCTCCCAAAGGCGCGGGATTACAGGCTGAGCCACCGAGCCCGGCTTACATTGCTTATTTTTAATAAAAGTTTTCAGAATTGGATTTTCAAATCAACAGTTGTTATTTTTTTAAAAAGTTCTGAGAAAACATTTTCATATGGTGCTCAGATCTATGAAAAGTGTTTGAAAAGCATGTTGCTAAGTCACTGAGGTCTTATCCCAATAATTCATTATAAATTTGTCCATTTTTGTTATTGCTGCTGCTGCTATTCTGTCATTGTAGAAAAGTCATTTAAATTCTTTGAGTTTGAATTTTCCCATTTAGAAAGTAAGAGTGAGCCAGATAATTTCTGAAGCATTTTCTGACATTTTCATTTTTGTTTTATTAAAAAAAATTTTTATTATAGAGAAGTGGGGTACAAGTGAGGATTAACTATGTAAGCAGGCTGCATGCAGGTGAAGTTTGGATGTCTAACTGGCCCTTGCTCCTCTTGGTGGTAGACAAGGTACCCTTTGTGTTGTCACGTGCTCCCTACCCGCCTCTCTCCCTCCCTCCCCTAGCAGTGCCTAGCGACTGCTGATTCCACCCTCGTGCTCATGCGACTTGTGTTCAGGGCCCGTTTAGGAGGGAGAACATCGGTGTTCGGTTCTTTGATTCTATGATCGTTCACTTAGGGTGATGGTCTCTAACTCCATCCAAGTTGCTGTGAAGTCCATGGTTTTGTTTTTCTTTATGGCTGCGTAATACTCCATCATGTATATGTGCCACATGTTCTTTATCCAGTCTACTTTCGATGGGCAGCAGGGTTGGTTCCATGTTTTTGCTCTTGTGAATAGTGTGGCAATAAACATGTGCGTGCAGTGTCTTGTTAGTGGAGTGATTTATGTTCCTTCAGGTATGTTCTCAGAATAGGGATTGCTGGATCATATGGAAGATTGATTTTTAGTTCTTTTAGGAGTCTCTTCACTGTTTTCCATAGAGATTGAACTAGCTTACATTTCCACCAGTGTAGAAGCGTTCCGTTTTCTCCGCAGCTGCACCAGCATCTGTTGTGTTTTTGATTTATTAATGATAGCCATCCTTACCAGAGTTAGATGGTATCTCATCAGAGTTTTGGTTTGTGTTTCTCTGGTGATTAGTGGGGCCAAGCACTTTTCATTTGTCTGTTGGCTGCTTCTGTGTCATCTTTTGAGAAGTGTCTGTTCCTGCCCTTTGCCCACATTTACTTATTTATTTTTATTTTTGTTATTTTTTCCTTTCACTTCATTTGAGTTCCTTGTAGATCCTGGATGTTAGGCCTTTGTCAGATGCATAATTTGCAAATATTTTCTCCCATCCTGTGGGTTGTCTCTTTACTCTTTTGATGGTTTCTTTTGCTGTGCAAAAGCTTTTCAGTTTGGTGAGGTCCTACTCGTCTATCTTATGATGGCATTCACTTCTGGGTACTTAGTCAAGAATTTGTTGCCTACTCTGATATGCATAAGGGTGTTTTCTATGTTTTCTTCTAAGGTTCTTATAGTTTGAGGTTTTAAGTTTAGGTCTTCGATTATTGTATATGGTGATAAGTAGGGGTCTTGTTTCATTCTTCTTCCTGTGGTCAGCCAGTTTTCCCAGCACCATTTGCTAAATATGGTCTCTGTGTTTTTATTTTTTCCATTGTTTTGCCTTTCTATTCTGTCATGTAGTTGAGATCATAAAGTATGTAGCCTTTTCACATAGACTTCTTTCATTTATTAATATGCATAATAATTAAATAATAATTAAAGTTTCTTCATGTCTTTTGTTGACTTGAGAGCTCATTTCTTTTTGGTACTGAATAATTTTCCATTGTCTGGATGTACCATAGTTATTTATGTATTCACCTACTAGAGGATATCTTGGTTGCTTCCGAGTTTTGGCACTTATAAATAAAACTGCTGTAAACATCCATGGTTTTTGCGTGGACATACATTTTCAACTGATTTGGGTAAGCCTTCAATATATTTTTCATCTGATAATCTTTAAAAATATTTTAAGTCAACTTGGAAAAGTTAGAAAAGCAATTATTCTCAATGCCTAAATCCATACATATTACGCATAAGGATCCCTTACCTTGCAAGAAGATTTGAAAATGCAGGTGCATTTTTTTGTAATTAAGGGATAGCAAGTTCCTTTCTGACCTATTTACCCTGGGGCACAGATTTGAATCTTAACTCAATGAGCAGCTGAGTCCTATACTAATCAACCTAAGTGACTTCTTTCTTGATCTTGAAATAAATGATGAAATGATAATGTTAGATCTGCTAGTTTGATCTGGAAATGATATAATGTGGGTACTACCTGTTAGATACTGGACTTTTACAAGTGACATAAAATGAATGTAAGATGACAGTAATTTTGGACTATATTTTAGCTATTGTCTAGAGGTGAAAGATGATTTATCAAATGTCAATGCACTCTGCCTCTTATTTTTCATTTTCTGCATTTTTGCCCTTCTCTCTTCCTCTTTATTGTAGGATATAAATAAAATAAAGTTGAGCAATGCGTAAATTAGAAACACTATGAATTTTAGGATCTGATTTTCATCATATCTTGTTTTTTAGTACTTGATTGTTTTTAAATAGTTCATTCCCATTCAACAAAAAATATATTTCATATTAACTGTCTTGTTGAAATACTTTTAATTTAACATTGTAGCCATGTGCTAGGCCTACCTATCTATTTTAACCATGTTTCAAGGGAGTCTGTAAATGCAATATATAAGAATTTGATCATCCTTTAGCTGAATGATGACATTTGGAAGAGTTTAGTTTTACCCCTGAAATTATGTTTTAAAAACAAATTATATTTTATTGATCATGTATTATGATGTATATAGATACTTTTGATGTTTTTCAGCATTCTCTGTAAATTGCATAATAATGTTTCAGAATCCTTATATGGTCCTGATTACCAATAGAATAGTTTCCTCCTGTCAAAACATCCTTCATTCAAAGTTTTACATTCATTTTTTATGAAAAGTATATAAATGTTTGAATAGAACTTGTTTAGTAGAAATATCTAAAATTGCTTAAAGAATGCTTGTGAGTCCCAAATTGACAGACTATAAAGGTTTGGATGTCCCCACAAAATTCTAGGCATTGCTTTTTTTGTAAGTGGTACTTTAGAAGGTAATATGTAGAGTTAAAAACATAAGAACTTTGAACAGACTAAAATTAATTTTTTGGTTTTTTTTGAGTTGGAGTCTCACTCTGTCGCCCAGACTGGAGTGCAGTGGCCGCTCCCGGCCACCGCAGCCTCGACCTGCTGGGCTCCGGCGACCCTTCCACCTCAGCCTTCCAAGTAGCCGGAATTACAGGCATGCGCTACCACGCCTGGCTGATTTTTTTGATTTATTATAGAGATGAGGTCTTGCTGCCCAGGTGGGTCTTGAACCCGCGGGCTCAGGCAATCCACTCACCTCAGCCTCCCAAAGGCGCGGGATTACAGGCTGAGCCACCGAACCTGGCTAAAATTAATTTTTTAACATAACTGTACATTATTGTTTTGGGTCTTAATAATTCTCTAAGGTCAGGAAATCGGATATCTTTTGCCCTATTTTATAACTATTACTTAGGTAAAGTAATTTGTCCAGGGTCACATCAAGGTAAGTTGCAGAATTGAGATTAGAGGCTTTTTTTAAAAAAAAAGAAGACAGAAAGGCTTCCACAGTGGGAGGGGACCTGAGAGGGTTGCCCGATTAGATGGCTTTCTGACTTAGTTTAGTGCTTTTTATTTTTTCTGTGTTAGGCTACCAGTCTTTCACAATATTTTACCATAGTCATTGATACCATTTTGTTTCATTGTCCACTACTGCCTAAAGAAGATAAATCACAACTTTACTCTTTAGTATGCCTTTAAACTGTTGTGACCCGATGACTTACTATTTGGGAGGTGGGAGTGAGCATACGCTTATTTTTTTGTGATCTAGTTCCAATGGAGAAGCATGTATTTACCTATAAATAAACTATATAATGTTAATCAGTTTCTGTCTTTTGGCCAGAACTGCTAAAGCAATAGCACTGAGTGAATGTAAATAAAAGAGACTAACAGGAGAGGTTCAGGGCTAGAACATTAGATTTATCCTGTGGTTGTCATGTGCACTATTGCATCCAATAAGGGCTTCTTTTGTACTTTCTGTTACAGATGCTGACATTTTCTTCTAAGGAGAGATATCCCTTATTTACTTTTGTAAATGGTCATTCCAGAGACTATGATTTTACATCTACTACAAACAATGAAGAAGACCTTTTCTCAGAGGATGAAAAGAAAAGATTGAAAAGATTTAGCACAGAAGAGTTTGTCTTGCTTTAAAGATGAGCGCATTTGTGCTTTGAAAGGGGAAAAATGAAAATGAGAAACAAGTATACTTGAAACTGGTTTATTTTCACAAATATCTTAACTTTATGTGTTCTTTAACAAAAGAATGTTTGAAAATATACAAGTCTAAAGATATTTTTCTAAAAGAGGAATGATTGAATCCTACTTTCTAACCTAGCAATCTGGCTGTCTTCCTGTTTCCCTGAACTCGGCGAACGGCACTTCTACCGTTGTCTTCAACGTCTTCCACCTGAATCCATTGGTCTCCTGGAGATTTTAGAACAGGGGCATCCCCAAAGACTGGGGTCACCAGATAGCTCCAGAATTCTCATCTATACTAATGGCCAGATGACCAGAAAATGAATCTTTAGGCTGCCTAGCCTCTTGCTGTTAATGCACCAAAGAATACTTTTGGATGTGTCCTGATAATTTAATAGTGTCTGTTAGCTGTGACATGCATACAGTGATATAAGCAAAGTCATGAGTTAAGGTAATATTAGCAGTATGATTTTATAATGGCTCCTCATGCTTGCTGTTGCATCTTCTATGAGGAGAGAATATGAAGTATTGGTTTACCCCACAAATTCGAAGGTATGTTATTAATACCAACTGCATCCAATCAAATCTGAAAAAGGAAAAAGAAATAGTAGCGTTTGTTTCTATCTCAGAAGTGAAGTTCCATGATAACTCAATTTATTATGCAGTTTTAAAATCTAAAGTACCAAGACACACATCAGCAGATGCTCCTCTGTGTACTTTTGCAATTTGTACAAAGCAGTGTAGTGGTGTTTAGAAGCTGAGGCCATCCGTAAGGTAAATCTGCCTGAAGTGTATCATGTGTTCCTTAAAGGCAAGTTTGTGATCTAAAAGTGCAAGAGTTGTTATTGAGCCAGGATTATAAAGTAAAAACTTTAATCAAGATGTGAAAGGATAAAATGCTTTTGTTTTGGTTTTAGTGTTGGGGTTATTTTGATCCTTTCATTTGAGAAATCAGTGTCTTAAATGAATTCTGTTGTTTATAATAAAGGCATATAACATTGTTGCTCTGAAAGCAGATTATTAACTTTTATTATGGAGCTTCCATGTTTCGATATAAGGGTGACACGTAAAGACATGCAATGGTGTACCATTTATAGGCACTGAGCCTGCCTGTTTAGAGTTGCATGCCAAGCCAAAACAGAGTGGACTGATAGCTTTAGTTTGCCTGATGAGAAAAATGAGATTTGACATTTCCCAGTGAAGATGGTTTATTGAATTGAAATAAATAGTTTGAAATCAAAAATTTCCTGTAGCCTCGATAAAATCAGGACAAATTAAGCCCGGTGCTAATTTTCTGAGGGAAGCCAGGGGTATGCTAGATATTACACACTGCAGTCCTCTCATGTAAGCTATTGCAATTTACTCTTCCTATACAGCTACAGTAATTCACAGGATTCTACAATAAACACATCAAATGAGAGCACACATACCTTCACATGGATCAAAACTGTTAGTAAATGTTCTTACAAGAACTACTTAGAGTTGTAGGATAGCATTGTTATTTTCTCATCATAGTTAAGGGTCATTTTAAAGTAAAGTTTTGGAATGAGACAAAACTGTACCTGGACAAAGTTAATGTGAGAGGATGCAAAAACTTCCTTTACATTGAATTGTATTGAAAACACTCAGTACATTGTATAGACAGGTCTTACAATACGATCATCCTCATGACTGGGAATAGCTGTTTAGAATCAGAAATTGTTAGCCTCATATGCGTATAAAAAGTATTCAGTAATACATTATGAGTGAATGAATCATGCATGAAAATTGAGAGAGGATCAATTTATCTTACTTGCTAATTCAACTTCAGCTGAAGACCTGCCGAAAGTTTATGCTAATTTTTCATTGGGAAGACAGCAACAAAACTATATTGTTAGATATGGAATAACGGTACTGTACATCCTGGTTTCAGACTTTGTTTTGAACACATTTCATTTCAAGTTCTGACAGCTAGTAAACTCAGTCAATAAAGCGTTCAGATGATCTCTTTCAGCCTGGAATAAAGGAAAGTCTGAAAGGGCAGGATTCTAAGATGAGTGTTCTGTTAGAGTTATGATGGGAGGAGCTTTCCTTTGGACATCAATTTACCATTAACATTTCACAAATGAGTTTTTAAAATTCTCGATGTGACTTTTTCATGGTGAAGTTTTCTTTTCTGTCTTCTTCATAAGATTTGACACTTGGAATCCTCTTTTGTCAATGTATTAACCACAGCAGGTGATCTTAAGAGTCATCATAGCCGGGCTCGGTGGCTCAACCTGTAATCCCACGCTTTGGGAGGCTGAGGTGAGTGGATTGCCTGAGCCTGCAGGTTCGAGATCCACCTGGGCAACTTGGCGAGACCTCATCTCTACAATAAATCAAAAAATCAGCCGGGCATGGTAGCGCGTGCCTATAATTCTGACTACTCAGAAGGCTGAGGTAGAAGGATAGCTGGAGCACAGCAGGTCGAGGCTGCAGTGGCCGGGAGTGGCCACTGCACTCCAGTCTGGGTGACAGAGTGAGACTCCAAAAAAAAAAAAAAAGGGTCATCGTTTGTTGAATGAATGAATGAAAAGATCCTTGATAATGCAGGTATATTAAAGAACATTTCCCTGAGATAGTCATTTTTCTGTTTTTACATTAAACCAATCTTATTAAATCTGTATTAGTGAGAAGACATCTTTAGAGGGTTAAAGTTTAGGTTGCTTTTGTGTCCTGTTAACAGAATTTAACATTGTCCAAAGAACAGAAAAATGACTTAACTATGTAATCTGATTCTAGGTCAGAAATCTCTATTGTTTCTGATTACACTAGGAAGAATTTTCATTTTCATGGTTTATCATAGATCACTTTTATTTTATAGCTTGCATTTGACATTGCCTTTTTGACTATATAGTCATATATAACTATGACAAAACTATAAAGATTTTCTGAAATCAGGAAAACAGGAGGAAGGACATAATGACAAAACAATTTGAAAATATTAAATTGCTATTTAATTATTATTTGAACTGACATAAGGAGGAAGTTGAGGATTTAAAATCATGATGAGCCAGACTCAGTGGCTCAGCCTGTAATCCCGTGCCTTGGGAGGCTGAGGTAAGTGGATTGCCTGAACCTGCAGGTTCGAGATCCACCTGGGCAACTTGGCGAGACCTCATCTCTACAATAAATCCAAAAAATTAGCTGGGTGTGGTAGCGCGTGCCTGTAATTCCAGCTATTTGGAAGGCTGAGGCGGAAGGATAGCTAGAGCCCAGCAGGTCAAGGCTGCTCCAGGAGTGGCCACTGCACTCCAGTCTAGGTGACAGAGTGAGACTCCAACTCAAAAAAAATAAAATAAAATAAAATAATGATGAACTAGAAGCAAGACATCCAGAATATATGATAGAACAATTTCTTGCAAAGGATAAGAGATTTTCTGTAAAACAAAAAACAAAAAACTCTAGGAGAGCAAATATTTATCATATGATATTTATTTAGCCTCAGTATTGTCAATCAACCACAATTTAACAGTGCTATTTATTTGAGCATTTGTACTAAGTATTCTGAGGTACTGAATTAAAAAGGTGACACATAGACTAGGAAAAATTGGAAACATCCTATTGATTCTAAAATACAAATTTTATATCATTTTATAGTTTGAATCTTAAGTCAGTTTTAAAATCTTAAGCATTTTTGTGTGGCTTTCATGGTTATTTAAAGATTTTTTTCCCTTGCCTATAAACTTTGAAAAATATTGTATTTAGAGCTGGTATTGCAGACACATTTCTGAGTTAGCATTTTCCTCTCTTTTTTACAGTCCTTCTCGACATTATTGGTGGCAAGCAATGGCCCAAAACATTGACAACTACAGTTATAAAATTTTACTTATTCTCTCACAAAGATAAGAAAAATATGTTAAATGTGGAGAATACATGTTATTAGGTAGGAAAATTACTTTTGTACTATGCTACCCTCTAAATAGTTCCTCCAGAAATTTAGAAACTCAGTCTTCCAAGTTTGCCATCCAAGAGTGAATCATAAAAAAGTATTCTACAGAGAATTATCTTTCATTTAAATTAGTTTTTAAAAATTAATAATTACAAACATGGGTATTTTGTAATAAGATAATATAAAGTAATAAAAAATTGGGAATTCATGGGTTTTTACAAGAAATTGCTTTACTTATTTATTTTTTGGTTTTTTTTTTTTTTTTTTTTTTG